GTAATATTAGGTATTAAGTGTAGAATTCAGGGGCACAGGGATCATCACCAGCACAGCTGTATAATAACAGAAAAGGGCTTTATTTGCCAAAAGGCAAACAAAATAATTCTTCCAGCGGCAAAACAGAAAAAAATTTGCTTTTTTTCAGCAAAACAAAGTTAGCTTGCCTTCAGCACAAATAAAACAATATAGTGACTCGCCAACTCTGGGCTTTTACCCACAGGAAGGGGTATCGCAGTCCCAAGAACTCCCTACGTCTTCCCCAGCAGAGACCGAGTTCTCAGCAGTGCTCAGAAATTCAGCAGCTCAAACAATTTCTCCAGACATCTGTCTCATTCTCAAACTCCTACTAACCCGCACGTGTTCTCTGAATATAAATCCCTACTGCGGGTACATTAACACTCACATTAATCCTCTACTGGCCCTTAAAGGACTATACTGTAATGCAAAATAGGGGGAGATAAATTGCCCATCTAGGATCCATGCTTGACTGTTGATTCTCTTTAAGGTTCTCTTTAAGACAAAATGGCAATTTTTCAGCGTGGACTTGGTCAGATTAGCATTAGGGGTGGTGCAAGAACCCTACTTAGCATTAGGGGCAGTGCAAGAAACCAGTTGGGTTATGATAAGTGAATGAGAACATATAAGCGCAGTGCAAACTGTTGGCACTATATAAATCCTTAATAATAATAATATTATGACAGTAGAACCCCAGGGAAAATTACAGATATACCATATACCTGATGAATGAGAACCTTCACAGTCTCGAGGGACCAGTTGTTTCTTCAGGAAACTAAAACTTTTAAGCATCAAAAAGCAGCATCTATTGTAAGCGATTTCATCAGCATTTTGAAATGGCATTAAAATCCTTTTGGCTTATCACTTTAACCCTCACTTTAACCCTTGTAGTGCGGGGGTTAGCAAGCAGTAGATATATGCAAAAAGTTTTTTTTTTAAACGCTTTAACAGTGGTTTAAACTTACCTTGTTTTCGCTGCGCGCTCCCGCCCGAGAATCCGAAACTGCTCCGGCGGCCGCAAATCATCTTTTAGGGGGCGCATGCGCAGTTCGGATTCTTGGCCGGGAGACTAGCAGAGACGCAAGGTAAGTCTATGGACGCGTGCACCTGCATGCAGACACCGCTGGATCGGAGGGACAGAGCAGTCAGCGCTGGATCGGAGTGACGTCACACCACTGGAGGGACACATGAAAACATAGTGAAAGAAGATGAAGACCAGAATAAGAGTTTGAAGACCAGAATAAGAGACATCATTTAAGGTAAGTGCTAACATTTACATGGGGGGGAGGGAAATTTTTTTTGCCTTTTTTAATATCACTTTAAGCTCTGCAAAAAGACAAAGGTGCCACCGTAAGGTATCTGCCATCCTGTCTGACCTTTTTTCACGTCATGCGAGCAGTTAACGGTGAACGCTGCCAGCTGGGACAGACCACGAGGCCGTCCATGTCTTTACAGATGTTCTGTTTTCCGCTCCAGGCTTTTGTGACAAGGAAGAGATGTACTTCTCAGATTTAACGTGTTCTAGCTGTGGAATGGCTTAAAGCGTGCTTTTATGATCAACATTTTCTTACAAATAGAGTTGAAATGTTGAACATTTGGTACAGTTACCTTTTTCTACTTTTATTGTTTTGGCAAAGCAAGAAGTGTTTTATGGGTCAGCAATAAAACGGTTGTTCCACGGAAGCGTTCAAGTTAAAATAAAATCATATTTTTTAAACGCGTCTCTTGCTCAGGTTACCAAATCTGTTCTTATTTGAAACTTCATCCTTTACAATTAATATTACACTTCGAGAGCGTTCAATAGGGGAGAATTTTATTTCTGCCAGGTTGTTCACGCTTGAACATTTTAGTAAGAGGAGAACGTTCGTAAAGAAGAAAAAAAATCCATCATACTGTTTGCTTAAAATTATTTAAAATCTATATTTTGCAATAAAACCAGCACAGTTCATTTTGAATTCTTAGAACTGGTTTCTGACTTGTAATAGCAGGTACGAAATATTGCAGAAAGATGTTGGAGTTCATAACCATGGATCTATTTGCTAGATTGCATTTTTGCAAGGGATTGTGATATAAAAGCTCAAGAATAAATATATATTCACAAAGTATTGAAGTAGAACTGTGGCTATTGCAGTATTTACATATTCCTAACAAATGGTAAAGGAGCTACAAAACAAGCCATCATTTACTCCTGTAGCTTCAGCCACTGCGCAGTAATTCATCCTCAAAATTCAGGCCAGAGACGCTCTCACTTTTTGTTTTCAGCAGCTCAGCTTATTTTGCGTCCCCTTCCCAGCTGTCTGCCAGCCTTCTAAGCTCTAAAAGGGGCACAGAGCAAGTACACAGGAAGGGGGAGAGAGGGCTAAGAACTTGAAAGACTTAAAGGGTTATTAAACCCTCAGCATTTTTTGCCTATATCTACTGCTAGCAAAGCAGTAGATGTATGCAAAAACATTAAAACATTTAAAAAAAAAAAAAGGGTTAAAACGTACCTGTCCCTTCACCGCGCTCTCCCATCCGAACATCTGAAAAGTCCCGGGCGGCTGCAATGGATCATGGGGTGGGTGCATGCGCAGTTTAGATCTTCGGCCGTTAGACGAGGAGAGACACCAGGTAAGTCAATGGTGCCTCCCGCACAGACTCCATGGACAGGAAGTGCCAGGAAGAGAGAGGACTCCGCACTGGATCTGAGACAGTCACCACCACTGGAGGGACTTCTGAAAACTACAGGAAAAAAGATGATCGAATCAAGAGACATTATTTAAGGTAAGTACTTACACTATTATGAGGGGGGTATACTTTAATATCACTTTAAGGGGTTGTCTTGTGAACTTTGAGGATGAATTGCTCCACGGTACATATAGTTACAGAGTTCAGTGATGGCTTGCTTTAAAGCTACTTTCCTCGTTTTTAAGCATATGTATTCATTTGAATGTCCATTGCCTGGCCACAGTTCTGCTTTAAAGTAACAATCTCAGGAGTCAAATCTTAAAAATACATTCATGTACCTTAACTATTAACAAAAATGTATCTTATTTGTGTATCACTCGGCTGTAGATCCTCAAATCATCTCTGAATTGGTGCTGACACTGTCCTTCCTTCTGGAGGGTGGCTACTTTTGCTCCCCATGGTCCCTGTGTGTGTAGTAAAGTATCCACCACTCCAAGCTCACTTCTGTGATGGACTACAATCTCAATACAAATTGGTATACTAAACATGAGATTGTTGTCCATTACTGGAGTGAGCTTAGAGCCGTGACTACTTTACAGCACACACAGAGACCATGAGGAACAAAAGTAGCCACCCTCCAGGAGGAAGGACAGTATACACCTATAAGATAATTTTTTTTTTTTAATAGTTAGGATGACCTGAATGCATTTTTAAGATTCAAGTGTCATTTTAAAACTGTAAACTGACCAAGCTGCTAATTACACATATGTGAAAGGGGTTTAATTCTCTAACACGTGTTATTCACACACCCATAGCAAGGGTGTCACCCCTTTCTTATATCAGGTACAGCAATGCAGTGGTATTGCTTCCCTGTCCCAGCTCGCTAATCGGACAGTGAAGCAGCAGCAGCAGGGGGCGTGGCCGTAAAAAAAATTTTTAAAAAAAAAAAAAAAAAGCAGCAGCAGCAGAGTGATGAGGTCATCTTTCCTGTCCTATACGCATGTTCCCTTTGTTTTGATGATGGCTGTTTGGAACAACACTGATGCCATTCGTAATCTTTGCGTTTTTACCATACCAATCGTTCACATTTTGTTAACATTGATTATGCTTACTGGAACCCCTTTGTGCCTTTCTGTTACTGAGCAGTTGTGCATGTTTGCCAAAACACTACCATTTTTTGTTAGAGAGAGGATTGACAGTGCTCCATATTTGCCATCTCTGACTCTGGAATAGCTCCGGCAATTGAGCTCCCGCTCCCAAAATCTCTACTCGGTCGACCCAAACTCTCTGCTCTGGTTTCAGGCAAACCCAGACGCCCCATCTCTGGGAGTTGGAGCTGCTCCAGAAATTGATGTTTTATTTTAATCCGCTCTGCTCTGCCACTGCTTCTTTTCCTTAGTATTAGCTTTGTAGACACATTCAGAAAATACAGAGGATGATAAAACGTGGAAGTTGAATGCTTCATGTGGAGGTGTTTCACAAGATGTGCAGGAAATACAGCCAACTATAGATCTAAGAAAGAATGTTACATTATTACTTCTATTTAGACATTGTTTAAAGTGTATGCAATCTTAAAGAAGAACTCTGGGAAAATCACACACTTAGCCTTGCCAAGCCTTCGCCCCCCCCCTTCCTCACACCACCCACTGCAACGGTTAAGTCCTCATTTTGTCTAGGCAGCTCAAATAAAGCTGTATTACCTTTCTGATGCTCGGCCCTGCGGCAGTCAGCACTCGCCTCTCTTTTCCTCCAAACCGGCTGTGAAATGTCCCTTGGCACCCTCACATCGAATGCAGGTCAATGGAGCTGAATAAGATGTGGTGACGTCCAAGGTCCTTAGACTGCCGGAGACCAGAGGAAAAGAGCCTGCAGGGACTGGTCTAGCAGTGGGACCATCGATTAGGAAAGTAAATCTGCTTTATTTAAACCTTGCAGTGTGGGGGGTAGCTCCACTGTAACGGTAAGTGTGTTTTTTTTTTTTTCCAGAGTCCTTTTTTTTAACAATGCACGCCTCTTATCTGCTCCCTTTTTAACTGTTAAACATAACATTACAGGCATTGTGATAGATCTATTTGAAGTGTTGAACAGTATCTGTTCTTGCCAGAAAGCCAGTGCTGCCCTGTGCTCTCTGCGGCCATTTACCAGGAAAATTATCACCTCTTCAAATCAAAAAGGGGAAACGTTTTTCATATTAAAAGATACCATATGTAATCCTTTTTTTTTTGTTTTGTTTCCTAGTTCACCTCGGTATATAAAAATTCTCTAATCTGTACTGTAATCTAGGCCCTTACATAATATTTTTTTTTTTCCTTTAGGGTGCCCAGGTGACTTCAAGAAGATGGTTAAATCTGCAGGAATACCAGAGCAAGAAACTGATGGCCGACAACGGCGTCACCGTCCAGCGATTTTTTGTTGCCGATAATGCCACTGAAGCCCTTGAAGCTGCCAAAAGACTGAGTATGTCCGACTAATCTCCCTGATTTAGAAATACACATTAAGTAACTGATAATCAAATCTATAGTAGTTCTCATATTAAAGTGTAAAACATTTTTTATTTTAGGGAGCAAATATATATTAGGTTATTATTGGAAAAATTACTTTTTTTTTTGTTTGTATTAATGTACAACTGAAGGCTCCCGTATGGCAGTCTAAACAAGTAACACATCCAGTTACTATGTAATGCACAAATTAAACACAAAACTTCCTTTACCTCCACCCTTTGTCTCTCAAGTGCTCCCCCTCCCAAACACTGCAGCTCACATTGGGAAGTCTCAGCAACAGAGGCAGGGCTGCCAATCAAGAAAGCAATGGGCAGGTGTCAAACGCCGCAGATGGGAAGGGGCAGGACACCTCTCCTCCCCGTGTGCAACATCGGCCACACGAGCACCGCGGGAGGACAGGACGGAGACCTGGGAAACTGCTGCAAAAAGCATTTTTTTCAGATCGCACTGTTGCGGGCGATCGCACTGTGGGTCGGGGGCATGGCCGCGGTGCCATTTATTTCACTGCACCGCCATGCCCCCTCCCGTCCCTGAATGCAGGTGTTTTTTCGATGATGGTTTTTTGATGGTTTTTTCGATAAGCTCATTGAGCTCGTCATTTTGAAAAGTAGATATCCAGACGAAAAATTGTGGGCGCCCCTGCTTCAACATATAAAAACACAATGAAAAGATGGTTTACGTCTATCCAATTTCTTTCATATGTATATCTTAAACATTGAGAAGGCTTACACTCCTTTTAAGTTGAGCTTGCACATGGTCCCTTAGTGTAATATGCCCCTAAAGCTGGCCATACACTGTTAGCATTTTGGGCGACTCACAGGTATTGGGCAAAATTTTAACTGTGGGGGCCTGCCGGCTGTGGATGGAGGAATCTGTTAGATTTCTTTTGTTTAGCTCACAGGCTGAATGGGAAAACAAAAATATTAGTGTATGGCCAGTTTAAGGACTTGATGTAATTAAATGTGCTGAAAAAGGATAATTAATGGTGAGTAATAGATGACTCATCCATTTGTTCTAACCCTCCATTACCCACCATTGTTTGTATTGTTATTATAGTCTGATTTAAGTACTAAATAAGAGGCAAGCTGCAGAATCTTGCAGGACCTAAGAGGAGAGCTAGCAGCTTTCTCGCACTGAAAAGAACTGCTGACGAGGCTCCTCAAGTGTACTATGTCATGGCATAACTTTCTGTACCCTCTCATGCGTGCAACACGTTATTCATCTGTTAGATGCAAGTTATGGAGTTCTAGAATGCTGTAATATGTTTCATTTGCCACAGATCGCTATTATTAGATTTACTTGTTCCTAGAAAAAAACTTGGCATGACTCTCTGCTGAGAATCTGACATATGGTGTCCATTTTAAAATATCCCTCCTACATACCTCTGTTCTGCATAATTCTCCTTCACAGCTCCTACCTAAGCTGTCTTGTCCACACAAAACATTAGGTGGACCTAAATTTGAAAAAAATTAGGTTGTGTTACAGGGGACAGCTATAAAAGTTAATTGTGCCTGAGCAGTACCCTGTGCTTAGGCGCTCTTGTGCTCTGAGCTGTATACCTGCAGGGTGAGGTCCTCTGAGACCCCATTCACACTGGGAAACGTTTTCACGCAATTTTGAGCTGGGTGACTTGAGCTACATTGCACATTTATTCGCGCTACGTATCGTGACTTTTAGGAGGGAATTTGTTGCTGCTTCATTGGGCTGTAACCAATTAAAAGCGTTCTGATGTTACATCATTCCTTCCATATTGCTGTGCAAAAAATTACACTTCTGTAGCGCGATACCATTGAGTCTATTGGGGCTAAATCGGGCGACATCCGCCAAAAAATAGGTCATGTTTGAGCTACAGGTGACATTGAGCTGTGAGATGTGAACCGCTCCATTGAAATGAATTGGACAAGCTACATTGAGCGGAAATATGCGCGATTTTGGAGCGGAAATAGCGCGACAAACCGCTCAGTATGAATGGGGTCTAAGGGGCCGCTGTTTGTGACAGTCCCATGAAATCTAGATTGAAATTTGTTGATGTTACTACCGTGCTGCTCACGGTTCTCCCTGTCTATATGTCTGACGCACTTCTACTGAGCCATTGTGTAACACACACACACCGTCCGAAAATGGCACTTTTGGCTAAATGCCAAAAGTGCAATTTTTCTGCCAATACAGCAGCGCATCCGTGCTTTCTTTCCTCCCCGCTGGGCACTGCTCTGTGTCCCAGCGGGGAGAAGAGAAAGTGTCACAGGCGGCCAGCGCTGCAGGAGGAGTGCGCTGTGAATGGCCGGCGTCTCTCCTCCCAAACCGATCAGCCTCCTGTCACAGATCGGCAGAGCAGCGTGTAGGTGGAGACAGCCAGTGCTGTCACAGGAGGCTGAGCTCCACTCGCTCAGCTTCCTGTGACCGCGTGTCAGGAAGGAGAGCGGGTACAAACAGTCAGTGATCAGTGATCGCTGAGTGTTTGTAAATAATTGAGGACATATATTATGGTTACTATATCCCCAATTATGAATGAATGGAAAGTGATCTACATCACCTCCTGTTCATTCATGATTGTGGTTATAGTAAACACACTCTGTCCTCATGTTATGAATGAACAGGAACACTCAGTATAGAGGATTCCTGTTCATTTTATGATGGGGGAAGCAGAAAAAGAGATCGAGGACTCTGTGTACTCAATCTCTTTTTCTATTTTAAAATGGGAAATATCAGGGGACTGTTTAGACCCCTGATATTTCCCTGAAGCCCCTAAAAGTAAAGCAAAAAATAAAAATACATAAAATGTATAAAAAAATAAAAGTTTATAAAAAATAAAAATATAATATTTTAAAAAATTTGAAAAAAACGTTCCGGTTTCGGCCCGCCATTTTTTTTTCCCCTTTTCGTTTTGGTTTTAAAATTTTCATTTCGTACCTCTAATAATATTGGGTCTCAAAGATGTCCTGTAGCACAGGTTCTCCTTGTTGCTGCCAGCTGATCATCGATGGGTTAAGGGCTGGCTTTGGTGGTTGACTGCTGTATTACCCAGCTTTACAATCCCAGTTAACGTGTTGGAAATAGCGCCATAAAAAGTCGTTTTTGTTTTTCCTTTATGGTATTTTATTCGCTGGGGTTCTTTTTTGGGCCAAAACATTACATTTAATCGCTGCTTTGTTGTCTTTTGTTACACGAGGCATTGAATGATTTTTATGGGGATATTATTTTGAGACGTGAAAACTTTTTAAAAAATGTTATGTATTGGAAGAGAAATTCCCCTTTTAAAATAGTTACTATTTAATATTTTTTCCAATTGTTACAGAAGATGGCAAAGAAATTGAGAACCAGTTTGAAGCTTAAAATAAGTTTTTTGTTTAAAGGGTCAGTCCAACTATAAGTGATATCAAGAGTTTAGGTGATGCAACTCGTCTTCTACTAAAAACTAAAATAACTCTTTAAGGTGCCTCTGGCAAGAAGTCATTTTGAGGTTTCCCGTCTGTTGCTTTCATAATAAGGGAACATTTCTTGTTTACTTCAAAGGGTATCTGAAGCCAAATCCTTTTACATTTGTTGGTGTATGGAAAGGGTTAGAACCCCCTTTCAGGATTCTGTTGCTGTCCAGTCACAGTCTCGGGTAGAGACGAGACCTTTTAAAGAAAAAGCGAGCTGTGCCCCAAAAAGGCAAGCAGGGGAAAGGCTTGGTCAACAGTATTGCCTGCAATCTACCACTAGCTGATCTTTCCCCATGACTGACTTACAATGCCTTGTTCTGCACAGTGTCTCTGTGTGGAGGCAAGTTTGCAAAAGGATGTCACCAGCACACCATTTAAGTAAAATCAACAAAAGTCAATTTATTAATGGAGTACTGTCATTCCAGTACTGACAGTACTCCATTCTTAAATGGTGTGCTGGTGACATCCTTTTGCAAACTCGTAAAACTTCAGGGCACCATCCGTGGTCACTACGAGCACCCACCAGGATTTCAAGGAACATCCTATACCGGTAAGGAGTGCTGCAGGGCATCTATATATTATCTGCGTGGAGGCAGACATCATGGTAAAGGCAGGGCTTTGCTTCCCTTATGTCAGAACAAGGAGAGCAGCACACTAGTGTCATCACCAAACTTGACTGCAAATATCCTGAGACCAGCAGCTGTGCCTTAGATCTCATACCTCAGATATACAGCTATGGGGCTGTAAATAAAGGAAATGAGTATGTAGGCACCCTCGCATACCAGGAACTGCACTGATTTTTTTTTTTAAGTGAAATCACAAACAAAATTGTAGATTTTTCAGGGTACTGCTTAGGCACTATTAATATTTCTAGGTGTATAGCATTGCAGATGTTCACTTTTTGAGTTTGAGGTTAAGTTCACCCTTTTATTAATAACTATGCAATAAAGGGGCCCTGGTACTTTAAAAAGCATTGTTCTGTGGAGAAAAAAATTAGCTTACTTTAAAAGATATTCCTGTTGTCCAACTATGGCTTCCCTAAAGCCTGCCCAGAAGACTTCTTCCATTGAGAACGATCCGCCACAACCTGAACAGAATCTAGGACGCAAGAATTCTTCGGAGCGCCCCCAACATCTAGGGAAAAATCACTTTCACTCTTGACATAGACGGCTGTGTGATGGGAGGGAGATCACACTGCACATGTGCAGCATTTGTCTGAGCGGGAGTACTAGATGCTGGTGCTGTTCCCAACGGTACACATGTCCTAGATTGTGTGCAGGAGATGGTTGTGCGCAGTGATCTGTACGGGCCACCCGTTTCTCGTGTGAATGAGCGCTAATTGTCTGCAGCCACGTCCTCCTATAGGGGAGAGCAGGCTGCTGCGTGCAGTTACACACGCCACCTGTCCCTTTTGGGATCTGGTCTTTTTACGGGCCTGCACGCCATACGGATGTGTATGCGCATCTGAATAAGCCCTAAAGGACACCTGTACTGGAAGAAAAAAAGTAGACCGCCATTGATGACCATATTG